AAGTTTAAAATGAAATGGAAAAGGTCAGGAGAAAGAAATACGTAGACAAATTAATAGATTGCTTAACTGGGGCTGCTCAGTTAAGACTAGAATTGCGCCCTGTTAAAAGAAAAAATTATATAAAAACTTAGAAACCATCAATCATTTTATTAATTAAAAAATTAACATTACAAAAATTAAAAGGAAAATCATTTTTACTCAAATTATTTAAAAAATTATCCACAGCTTCCCGAAAACTTTCAACATTATTGCAAATTTTCTTGATCCTAACTAATTGTGAAAAAACAAGATTTTTGAATATTTTACTACACAAATTAGTTTTAAAGTTGTAGAAAAAAATAACATTAAAATTAAAAGCTTTTCTTTTATCAAACACACCAATTTTAATAAAACTGTTAACAATATCAATTTTAAAATCTAAATATTCAATATTAAAACAATTTTCATTAGTTATTTTCAGGACCAAATAACCAGGATAAATACTATAAATAAAATTATAATCATCACAATTAAACAAAATCAAATCATCAATGTATCGGAAAGCATTAAGTTCCTTATGTTCAAGAAATTTAGCCTCAAAAAAATGCAAAAAAATGTTGGCAAAAACAAGCATACTTACTCTTGATCACTTACAGAATTTTTATTCGTTTTAAGTTAAATTAATTCCATATTGTTTCAATTGGATTAACAACAGAGGTATATACTGACTAAAACGTTTTATCAATACTCTTTTGGGTGAGAAAAACACCTTAGTTTGCTTGAAGGTGTGAAAAAAAAATATTTTAGGGTTATCCTACAAACTTAAACTTACAAATTAAGTACAAATAAACTAAGGAAAAACAAATTAAATCTATTATAGAGAAAAACTCCCCTCCCCTTTAAATTGACACAAGAGCATTTCGATTCAAAACTTTCCATTATTAAAAGCTACTTTGAAACTAAGTCAGGTGGCATTAACCAATTTCAAAATATTTGAGATGACTGCGCCATTTTGTTTTTCCATTTCTAAAATATTAGTATGAAGAGTGAAAATAAATAAATTGTAAGTTTCTCAAGGACAATCAACAAAAGAAGTAAGTAATTTTATTACATAAATTTTGTATGAAGATGCATGGTAGCAATATAAGTAATAACAGTAATTCCATATCAAATCAACCAATAAAAAAAAATTTCAGGTCAATGACTTAGTTTTTTATAATTTTTGGCATATTTGTTAAACCTACTTCTGACATGAAAAATGCCAAGTTTAATATTTTGAAAATTCAAAATTTTTTTAAAAATAATTTTTAAACAACTGTGAATCTAATGAGCTACAGTTTACTCACTTTTTAATAAATTCTTATAAAGAAAATAACATAGTTAAATTATGCAAAATTTTTAAAGATCTTAAAATCAAAGCTTTCATTTTTTGTTGAAAAAATATATTTTGTTTCACTTTTTTTAGCAATATTTGTGTCTTTGGGATCCCACAGAAAAATGAAATTGTAGTTTGGCATAGGCATATGGTAAAAAAAAAGAAGAAAAAAAACTTAAAATTTCATAAATTATAAACAGAAATTTGTAAAAATAAGTTATAACTTCTTTTTTAGTTAAAAAAGAAAAAAAATACTGAATTTAAAAATGGAAAGAAATAGTTAATATTTAACATTCCAGTAGCAGAATTTACAGTTAATTTATCAATCTTCAGCACAATCTTCAAAAGATCAAATATATGAGTGACTTTAACTCGTTCAGGCACAGAAAAATTTATTGTAAAAAGTTAGTTTAATAAGATTCATTTAACACAACTTGTAATACACAACATAAACTTCTTGTGTATCATTAAGGTACACACAAAAAGTTTATTTTGCTTATATTTAATTAGAATTTTATACTATAATACTTTAGCATTGTCCAAGACAAAAGAAATGCTTAGACTAAGACCCATAAAGAAATCAAAAAGAAAAAATGAGTTTGTAGATAAAATCTTTTTTTCAAAGGAAAAAAAATGAACAGAACTGCAATTCTGATTTGTGACGATTTAAAGTTTCTTCAAATGAAACTTATCGTACTTGCAGGTACTATGAAACCAAATAAAACAATAACCAGAAAAATGAAAAATAAATGTATCACTTTGGAATCAAATTTAAATAAAAGAGAAAAACTTTCCTTCTTTTTCATAATTAAAGATAGAAAAATCTGTTCTTTTTAGAATATATAAACATTTCTCATTTGAGATGGAAAATAATTTACTCATGCTGTGATAATCTTCTGCTATAGGGTTTAGCAAGTGATTTGACAATTCATACCAACATAAGTGTGGTGGAGATTAAAAGTCAGGTACTATAGTTAAAAAGAACAAAAGTTTTTTTATTTTATGAAAATTAATTAAGAATAAATATTATGATAATCATTCAAATTATAATTTATCACAAATTTACTTTATTAAATGTATTAACTCAAAAAATGCATTACCTCAAAAAATGTATTACCTCAATAAATTACGTTATAATATAAAACGCAATTTTAAATTAAATATACTTAGTTCTAACTGCATGTAAGAAATAGAAATATATAATTTGAAATTAATATTTATGTATATTAATAGTATACTAATATTTATAGTATTAATATTATTACTAATCGTAATAATATTAATACTTCCTAGGATTTTATGAAAATTGCAATATAGAGTCTAACACTTCAACCACCCACTCTATAGTCCAATTTAAATACAAAAAAAGAAAACAAAAAAAAATGCATTCTAAAAAGTTTAGCATGAGCTATCTTGAATCAAAAAACAGAATATACTTCTACAATATCAAAGATCAAAAATTCAAAGAAAAAATAAACTTATCTGTATGCTATTAACTAGGAACAACTATTATACAACCATATACAGAAATTTGTAAAAATGGCAATGATGCAGCATATTTCCTCCCTGAGAAAGAATTGAAATTCGTAATTAAGGTTTGATTGAAATTATTAAGTTTGATAAGATTAAAAAATTTTTGCATAGTTTTGTACTTCACAAAATCAGACATTGCTTAAAAACACAGAGAAAAAACTTTACTTCCTTAGAAAAAAGCTGTTCCTATACTTAACTGTTTCCATAATTGTATTTAATTTATTACAAAGAACTGAAATGGAAAATTTGTGACTTAAATAAATCATAGAGCTATTACCATTTAAAGATTTTTATATTTTACTTTATTAAGAATAAATAAAATTAAATAAAAAACCTAATTTTGCTTCTTTATTTCAAAATTTTTGACAAATGATTATGATTGTTAAAAAATAAAAGTTCCAATTGAATTACCGTATATGATGGCGTATAAGTTAACTTTTCAAACCTCAAAAATATTACGAAAAACAGGAGTTTATTATACACCGGTTATAAAGTCGGTCATTCGTCGTTCATGAAATATTGACACATTTTAAACAATGAAGAAGATATGAATAACTCTGTATCAATTTAATAATCTGTATCAATTTATATATAAAATCCTGATCCTTTGTGAAGCCTCATTATAGTAAGTAACCTTTTTTTTTAAAAATGGAGTCAGTATGCAAATTCAAAAAGAAAATATTCAAAATGTAATTAAAATAAGGTCCAGTGAGCAGTGCAGATTCCCGATTAGATTGTGGAAATATAGCAGAATGAATAAAGATTGTGGAAATACATACAACAAATACTTTCAGGGATGGAACAACAGTAAAACCATTTTGGAGCAGAAAAAGAATGTGTTTTGGAGCAAATGTAAAACTGATTTTTGTGCTGAAATTTGACACTTAACTAGTGCTTTTGATTAATGAATAATATAAGAATTTAGAAGCAGCCTGGTGCAATTTTGGAAAAAATGGCATTGAGCTGCTTGGAACAATTTAATGCAATTCGCACAGGTGTTCCAACCCTGTACTTTTTTTACTTTATCAAACTGAGATAATTTAATGTCAATTATAAGAACTTCTTGAAGGAATGAATTAAAAACTGATTATTATTCAGCAATGCTCATGATGAAAAAAAAGTTTATAATTAGGTCAATGCACAGCTGGGGCATTAAGCTACTTTAAAAATAAATAAATAAAAGCCTTTATTCCAAAATTATGCATTCTTAACTTTTATATAAAATAGCATATAATCTTATCTTGAAGAATTTTATCTCTCTATATATATAAATACAGGGCCCACGCTAACACTTGCCAAATGCGATAAAATTGTAAATTTATCAAATAAAATTGCATTTTGGAGAAAGTATTGGTGAATGATTTTTTTCCACTGGAAAAAAAAATATACATTTAACTCGATCCTAAATCAAAATTACGTCAAAGTAAATTGTTCTAAAAATACATCTTTTTTTTCGATTACAGTAATTTTCAATTAATGCACTGCATAACCAATTAGAATCGGGTCTAAATAATATAAGCCTGAAACAAACTACCGTAAAATAGTTTTTTATGCGGAAAAAAATTATCACAAAATTTTTTATAGATTTACATTTGGCAAATACTTTCAAAAATTGCTGAATACTTTTGATGTTTGGATAATTTACTGGCCAATAATTTGAAATCCTTATCAAGGGCCCTGTAAATGTATAAATATATATATATATATACACACACAAGGCTGCCAACAACTACGCTTTTGGCAAAATATTTTATATAGTGGTACACAATTGAAATGTAAAGCTTATAGAATCTTTGGTAAATTTGATAACAATCTAAAAGCCTCACCACAAGAGGGATGGGATAAATGGGCTTTTTACATAATCTTTTGAATTATTTACAAGTAGTGGTGTGAAAAATAACATTAAATTAAATTTATAAAAGAAAGAATAATACATTAAAGCAAGAACTTAGCTAGCACCAGAAGAAATTTTTCTAAAAAGCATAGAAAGTTGGCAGGCATGTGTGTGTGTGTATGTATATATATATATATAATAAAATTAATGATCACAAAATTATTATAAAAATAATAAGAAACATTCTAATTTTTGAGTTTGAAAAACTAACAGTAAAAAATTATTTAACATAACTTATTTAAGGATTTTCTATAGAGTCTGTTTATCATACAATTCTGACAAAAATATTTTCAGATGCATTACTAGAATCAAAGGGACCTTCTGCATTGGGATTAGAATATTCTGTATGAATATTCTTTATATGCCGTCTTAGGTTACTTAATCTGTCACAAATCAAACCACATATTCCACACTCATAACTTAAAGTACACGACTCTTGATGTGCTTTATATTGAATGTCATCTTCGAACTCGGCAGTACAGTTTTTACATGTTTTTGTTTTGAGATGTGTTTTTGAGTGCCGCACTTGATTCGATTTTGTCGAGAATTTACGATCACACTTGTCACACTGAAAAGGCTTCTCTCCTGAATGAGATCGAGAATGTTCCAGCAACAAAAACGGATACAGGAATGATTTATTGCACTGGTCACAGGCAAAAGGGGCCATTTTAGCATGTATCTGCTGCAAATGGCGTTTTAAATACTTTTTTTGCAAAAATGACTTTTGACATATATGGCACGACACCGCTTGGGATTCACATTTCTTGTGAATAACCTGGTGCTTCTTAAATTTCAAACTATCATCAAATGTCTTCCCACATACAGTGCATTCTTTGACGGTATGTTTTGAAGACAAATGAATCATAAGATCGTGTTTATCAATGTAACTCTTATCACAATGAGCACAATCAAACATCTTCTTTTGTGTATGAGAAAGATTATGTCGCTTCAGGTGATGTTTCTTTTTGAACTTTTTACCACAAATCTCGCACTCGAACTTGCGGACGACCTCTGAACCATCGTGTAAATGGGATAGAGCATGCTTCTGCAAATTTTGTTTTAATTTAAAATGCTTGCCGCAAACCAAACAATCTAAAGATCTGTCGTTTTCATTTATCTTTTTCTCACTAAACATTTCTTCAATATCACTACTATGAACCTCTTCTTCACTGATGCTAATTTGTTCATTAAAGGAATCATATTGCTCATCCATATCATAAACTATTCTTATGTCTTCAGAACATGGCCTTTTGCATGTTTTATCATTTATTTTCTCTCTAAAAAAAGCAATGTTATTTGTTTCATTTGCTGTTTTTGCTTTGGCAGAAATAAAACCATCTTTTGAATCACTTTCTTGCTTTAAATAAACAGTTCTTTTTCCAGAAACATCAACGTTAGATTTGTTTACTATTTCAGTTTTGTCAGTAACAATACCATCATTTGAATAGCTTCTTTCTTGCTTTAAAGAAACTGCACTCCTTCCAGAAATATCATTTACCTCTCGATGGTTAGCTAAGCGATTAAGATTTCCTTTACTTAGGGTTTCATTCCTGTCAGCGATGAAACTATCATTGGAATCGGTTCTTTCTTGCTTGATATAAATAGTTCTTTTACTAGAAACATCAATGCTATGGTTTAAACCATTAGGATTTTCTTCAGTGTTTACAAGACCAGGTTCTCTTTTCAAATCTGATGTTATGACTTCATACCTCGGGTCTTTTTTAGGAAGATTGACAGTTCTGTCACACTCGAAATCTGAACTTTTTTCAGAGTTAACTTTTTCCTTTTTAATAACTTTGCCCATTTGATAACAACTGGTGACATCTAAATACAAATTAGATCTTAAGGGACTTTTAATGTTATTGTTATCTTGGCCAGATACATCTAAATCAGTACTATTTTGAATAGCAAGCATTTCTTCTTTAATATTGATATTACCATTTTTACTTGGAGTCTTAGTAAAAAGTTTGGCAATACCTAATAAACTTCTTAATCTGTACTCAGAATTATCAGTTCGAGAATCAACATTCGTATTAGACATTTTGAGACAAAACCGGGCAGGAAAAACCTAATAATAAAAACTGATGTAAATACTTAATTTTATATACATATATATTTTGCAATGATAATGTTTAAATTAGTATAACTTCAAAATGATTACTAATTGAAATATATTAAAAACACATATATGTAAAATTCTTTCTTTTGCATCTGTTAAAAATATATTTAAAGAGTGTCCAAAAATAAATGTAACATTATTTACACACTCTCCTGGCATTTTTAAGAAAGAAGATTGATTTAGTGTTCCCTTTATTTATCTCTTGTTATAAAGTGAGTAGAATTATTTTTAAGAATTTTTACAGCACTTTTTGTTTTTTTAGAATTTATCATTAAAAAATGACAAGTTCTTAGAAAATTACTCAATAAAACATTTTAGCTAGCATTCCAACTTGAATATTTAGGAAATTTTGTCAAATAAAGTGTACATTTTATTAAATAAAATCATTACCATTACCTTAACATTGTTATGAATACTGTTCATAGATTTAAAGCATAAATACTAAATAAATCAATCAGTGTCGGTCTGGAACTACAACTTCACTTGGATTTTAAAATTGTTGGTATTAAGATTGGTGGGTTTTGGACGTCCGACATCTCAGTCTGACCATTCTAAATACAACATGCATGCATAGTAGGTTGACCAATGAAGGGCCGCATGCCAATATTTAGACAAACATGTTGACAGCAATTGTAGGTAGTAATTGTTAAATAAACGTCATTGTTCTAGGCACTAAATTCTTTTTATCAGTTAACCTTGTAATATGTTTGCATAAGATTAAATACTTTCAAAAGTTTAAAATTAAAAACTGCAAAATTGATTATTTAGGGAAAAAAACAGAATCGGAATCAATTTATCAGAAGAAAAATTGAGACAAATTTAAATAAATAAAAACAATGGGAAAATTTATGGTTATTTTTAATCACATTACTCAATACAAAAGTCCATTGAAACATAAATTTTAACATTAAAAAATTTAATTTTTCATAGAATTGTCAAATTGATATTTTTGCACATTTTGGGACTCTAAATGAATGTGTCTCATACATTTTATACACATGTGAAACGATACTTTAATTTCATTCACAAAGTTATGAATTAATACTACAGCAGCAATTCTTGTAAATTTTGTAGACTCAAGTTTAGAAGCTTACAGAAAATAAATTAAGTATAGAAAAAATCAAAAAATATTTCCATAATTTCATGGTAAATAAATAATAATGGTTAATAATTTTTTTGTCGGGAAGATTAATAGCAAAATTATTTTATAACGTACTTCAATCGTAAAATAGCTATTTATCACATAGATATATTTGACTTAAAATGCAAGTAGTAAAAATAAATAATGATTCAAAAATATGTTACAGTATGCAACCACAAAAAAGTTTTGCGTTGATTAGAAATTATAGAAAAAAATTATTTCTTTACAAAAAATAAAAAGAGGAACATTTTTATAATGTTGCATAAAAACAAACAAGTTTTTATATTTTATAAAGAAAATAAGCAATTTTAATTTCATAAAACATTTTACTAAAATAACATTCTTATTTTATTATGCTTGGAGAGAATTTTAACCAATTTTATAATAAGAATAATGAAGACATTTAGCAAATTGATACAATATGGAAAAGAATCATTGCTTTTAGAAAATAACTATTTCAATTCCTCATAATTATTCCCTTAATTATTCCAAACTTTCATCTAACCTCTTCATATGTATTCTATACACATGAAGAGGTAAGTAGATGAAAGTTCTGAATGACCTTTTTGAAAGAAAAAAAAATTAAGATTTCTAAGGAAAAGGTCTTAAGTTAATCTCATATAATTACATAACATTCATTTATTTTGCCAAATTTTTAAGTTTCAGAGATTTAAGTAAATAAAGGTATTAAGTAACAATCTTTGTGTTTTTTTTTCTTCAAAAGGAAGAAGGTTTTAAGAGCATTTTTAAAAAACAGTCTGTTTTTTTAAAGTAACTCATGTGTTAAACAGTCTGTTTAACAAATGAGTTACTTTAAAAAACCTGTCTTTTGGAAGCAAATTAAAATATCAAGAGTGTGAACAGAGATTGAGTGTTAAGGAGCTATAGATATGTTTGATTGGAAGGTTACAGATAAAAAATTAAGACAAGGCAAAGTCTTGGTTTATTTTCTTCTGTCAACATCTAAACATCAAAGCTGATCTACTCAAACTCTTGGAAATATCAATCAAAACCTTCATTTACTCAGTTCTTTATACATTTTGCACAAGTAGACTACACAGATAAATCATATACAACAAAACATGATCCATTACAACAATACATAAATCTGTTTGCAAAAGTAAAAAAATTGAAAGAAATATAACTCAAAACATAATGGGAAAAATGAATTCTTAGTTACCTTAATTTTCTAATACTTAATAATTGAAATCTTCAAGAAATTCTAAACTAGTCTTAACTGGAAACAGGTCCTTTTCTGCAATAAAATTGGTACCATTGAGACAAAATAAATAAATTTATGAAAGCAGATTACACATAAAATGAAAAGTAAATACAATAAAAGCACATTACAACATTACTTTTTCACATTTTTAAGTTGAATATAAAAGTACCTTTAAATGTACATTCATATTATAATAAAAATATTTATATCATTTTATTTTAATGTGATGTTCAACAATATTTTTCTTTATAAAACTACTGTTCATCAGTAGTAGTAATTTTTACAAAATAAATATACATTTTCTCTTTATTCCGAATAAATCTATATGTTGAATATTTAATCTGACTTGGTTATATTATGGGTTTCAATTTTTAAAAAAATTAATTTAAAAATAGACTTAATTTTGTATTTTTAAATTATAAAAAATTATAATTTAAAAATAGACTTAATTTTGTGCTTTATTATGCAATAAAGTTATATATTTATAACAGAAAAAAATTAATACTAGTCCTATCACGTATACATTATGAGTTCCTTAATTCTGTATATAAATTAGTCTTTATGGTTTTTAAAAAAAATTAAAGCTACAAGATTTCATTGTCCAAATTAACATACTAAATTCGACCAGAAAAATAGTACAGTTATATATTAAACAACCCTATGTACCCTAAAATTTTGGAAAAAAAACTTATGTACCCTAAAATTTTAAAAAATAAATTAAAAGACAAACAAAATAAATCATAATAGCAAATTTTTATTTTATTTTTTAATCTCACCCCCAGCCTGGGGCAATCAGTTATGTGGTGTGTTGCTTGCCAGAAAGAAGTGAAAAATCAAAAAGGGAAGTAATGCCATAAACCATACATCCTTATAAACCATTCAAGTCAAACACTACATACTGAGCTGCGATGGCTCAGAAGATAGAGTGTTTGCCTTCCACTGAGATGAACCGGGTTCGAAAACCAGGGACAGCTGGTCGATATGAATTCTGCATCCGCCTTGCACCGATCACAGTGCTGACCTGAAATATCCTCAATGGAGGACCAATGATGGGTTAGAGTCCCCTTGCTGTAAGGCTAACGGTGGGAGGTTCTCGTGGTCTTCTTCTCCATGTAACACAAATGCGGGTTAGTTCCATCAAAAAGTCCTCCGCAAAGGCAAATTTCTCCCAATACTTAATACAGGAGTTCCCTTGACTTCAGGACTGAGTTCAAAATTACAAGGCTACAGAGTTGAACATTGTCGAGTCAGAAACCCAATAATTGGGTCGGGTGACGATTATAAAATTTGAAATAAAACAATACCTACTCCACATAAACCATTTTAGTCAAACTATACATCCAAAGCCAATCAATATCTTTAGCAAAATTATAACCATATTATCTAAATAATTTTGCATGTTTTTAAAAATAAAGTGTCCCCTTGTAAAATTAAAAAAAAAAAAACTGTTATTATTAACTTTATTTATCTTATACTGTTTTTAGATTGAATTTTTTAGGTGATTTTTAATTTAAAAAAAAACATTCCAATTTTAACTATGACATGTGATCAATATTGCCTTAAAACTTGCATTGGATCAGAGCATAATTTAATACAACTAAGTACTACAATTTTTAAATTAAAGCATTACATAAAATTTACTATTTGCTATCTTTTGAAATTTAATTTATCCTCATTTTAAAGGCAGTTTTAAACATCATCAAACAATGCCAAACAAACCTTTCTAATTGAAAAGTAAATAGCTTGACTAACACAGGGTGCATATAACCAAATCATTTACCTAAAAATAAGCACTTTTGAAGTACTCAAAAAATATTTTTAAGTACTAATACATCAACAAAATAATTTTCGAAGTCTTTACATGATCATAATAAAATAACTAGCTTCTGACAAGGAACTCTTTTCTTGATTATATTAGTCCTTATAGATTAAGAGATTTTTTGGTTCAATATCAGAGTAGAATATGAAGCCTGAAATTAAGAATGGATATTTCACGTCAGCACTGTGGTCGGTGCAAGCCGGATGCGGAATTCGAAATGACCAGCCATCGACAGGATCGAAGGCCTCAATGGAAGGCGAACGCTCTATCCCCTAAGCCATGTGGAATAGAAGAATGTTGAATAGACCCCTGTTGAATAGAACAATGTGAAAAGAACGCTTTTACATAATACAAAATCGACATTCCCTTTTCGAAAAGGAAAAATTAAGCACTTTTTAAAAGCACCCAATGAAAAAAGCAACTTAAAGGACTTTTAAAAAACGAAAATAAGCATCTTTTAAAAATCCTATGCACCATGTAATACGGTTTTTTTTTCAACAAAGGGAAATTTAACCTAAAAAATTCGTATGCACATTATTTTGAAACCTTGGTATTAGTTAACCTTTATTTGTGATCGTCTAACTTGATTGGAAGAAGTCACGAGTTTTAAAAACTTGTTTTTTAATTTTAATATCATTGATTTCAAAAACAAATCAGCTCTATCTTTAAAAAAAGACATTGTTTACTCATAAAATTTTGACTACTAAAATTAATAAATTATACTTCAAAAGATAAACATTATATAAGCCTTTAAATATTTTCGCCGGTCAAATGGGAAATTTTAAAATGTTCTAAAAACAATAACTGAAATAATCACAAAGTTTCTAAATTCAATAAAACTAAACTAATCTATGCAGTGAGGAGTAAATTTAGTTCAGAAATCTTCAATACATTAAACGAAATGAAAAAAATTCAGACCATACTTTTTCGATTCCTAACTTTTCTTTTTGTTTTGTATTGGTTTAGCATAGCATTTGATTGCTTATTTCTGTGCAAAAGAAGGCCGAGAGATATTTGAGCGGAACCGTAGCCGAGAGATATTTCCTCTTTCATGAAAGGTTAAATCTCACTTCTTCAACATTAGTATGGATGGGTGGTCTAATGTAAACAATAACAAGCGTCCTTAAACCGGAAGAAATTTAGAAAATTTCCGGTGTATCCAATT